GAAAATGCAGACAATCCCATGACTCTTTAAGAATTTTTCGTCAAAATTTGAAGCTTGCAGCAGACGATGGCACTAAAGATGGCGAATTTATTTACCCAGCCTCCTATATTTGTAAAAACATTTCGTGATCGAGACTTTCAAAAAAGAAGCTGATGTCAGCTTTATTTTTTCATTTTAATGTCTCCTCCCACTTTTGACTTCGACAAATAGAATCAGTGATTCAGCATATAAAAAATAATGGCTGAAGGTTCTTTTTCTATTAAGTTGAGTGTATACCATGGTATACCAACATAATAGAATTACTTGCTTCAGAGCATGGAGAAGAATGTACGTGGAAGAAATGCTCTGTAGAGAGTATGAGAGTCAGTCCAGTCTTTCTTGATTGGCTTGATTGTGTGTCTGTTAAATGAGAAAAGATAATCTTGTTAACAATTATCATGATTATGTATAAAATAAAACATTTTGTCTACAGAATTGTAAACGAAATAGGTTTATTTATGGTTGCTGCAAACTTCATGTTTACAATTATACAAGGATTTCTGTCCGCAAATGATTCCTGACATTTAGGAACCAGTATAATTGCTAACGTTGAAAACATGAGCAGTAATGACCACCATGTTTGGCCCATGCTTGACAGAACACACATGATGTTCACGTGACAACTTATTTAAAGTTTCATCATTTGTGTTGAAAATAGACACAGAGCCAACACAGCAGAATACTGAATTTAATAATACAATTCAGCATCCACTTCATCTTGTACAGGGTGATGAACATCAATATTCACAATCCTTAACATCTCCACAATAAGGATACAATATGGCCTCGTCGCTTTGTTTACACCTGGAGAATGATCACTTGTAGGTCACATCTGGTTTCTGGTATTGCCATGCGGCACGTCGCAATGCCGTCGCCCAACTGACATCAACAATTGAATTGTGTTGTACAACATATTCAGAGCATGGGAAGAATTGCTCCATCATGCATTATGTAAATATTGCCCTGGACAGCTATTGTTGTTGAGGGAGGTGTAGGAAGCATGGCTAGGTTCAGGTGGGTGGTCAGAGTGTTGTGGTGTGTGTTAGCATTTTACTGTCTTTCAAGATTTCAAATTTAACCTCTTTTTATGTTTTGAATTTTGTAAGTGCTCAAATATTTGTTAGAAGTTAATCTTTGGCTAATATTAGTTATTTTGGGGGCTTTTTATGATGTGGGTGATATTTGATCAGTGTAAACTGATAGTGCTTATATGTGATGGGGTTTCTGTCAGTCATTTAGCCATGTGCCTGTAGGCATGGTGAGTACTGAATCCAGAACACTACCAGAACCAGTATCATGTTCGCACAGTTTGTTCTGCTGTGTACATGTACTTTAGGGTGGTATGGTAGCCCAGCGGTGCAAAGGTTTGCTAGTCATGGGTTTGATTCCCCACATGGTTTCTCACTCACTCACTCACTCACTCACTCACTCACTCACTCACTCACTCACTCACTCACTCACTCACTCACTCACTCACTCACTCACACACACGCACTCACCCAAACTCACTCACTCACGCTGTATTATGTATTACTGTTGATGGTAAGTAAGTGCCTTGTCGTTAAATAAAGTATGACAGACAGCTTTGTTGCCTTTGAATTCTGGGCCGGTAGAAAAGCATTCGCCTGTCATGCCGAAGACCCAGGTTCGATTCCCAACATGGGTACAATGTGTGAAGCCCATTTCTTGTGTCCCCCAATGTGATATTGCTGGAATATTGCTAAAAGCAGCTAAAACCATACTTACTCACTCACTCTTTGAATTCTAATGATGTAATTCTTGTATTATTGTAATTTGTATAACAACAAGTCTTTAGTGAGTGTCTTGTCTTGAAACAAAGTATGACAGACAGCTACGGCTGCCCAGACTCCTCTGTTGGGTGACAACTGTTTAGGTGGTATGATAATCTCAGTAGCTTCCGCAGCCTTCCAACAAACTCCCCTCCGCTGTAAACCAACAAGCTCATTGTGTTGAATCTTTAAAGAATGTTTACAAAATTCTTAAAGAAAATGAACTAGACATGGAATGATGCAATCATTATTTGTGGACAATCTAAGTGAAAAACTTTGTTTATCATATTCAAAACCAAATCTTTTGGGAAAATCAAGATATGATCAATTTATCAGGTTTATCAGATATTTATATTACTTTATATGTGAACATTCCAAGAAAAACTATATTTAAATGAATATGTATTGATATAAATTGAAATATTCTGAGCATTTTGAGGTATAATGACATTTGCAGGGAATAATGTCCTTTTTACTTCACTGCATTGCACAATTAATCAAAGTAAACATGGTAACAGTGTTAGTTTTGCTTTCATAGATTACTTCCAACAGTATTAACCCTGCGATGGCCCTGTAGACAGAAACACTGTTGTAAATATCACTGTCACCATAATCTCAGTATCAGTATCAGAAAGCCAAAGGAAATGTTTCTTGAGTTTCCCAGCAACGCTCTCCAGTCCATAACTCTTTGACCCAGATACCCATCATACAATATGTTAACATGGTAGACTGTGCGGTAGAAAGTCTAATTATTGTCTCGATATTTCAACTTTGTGTGGTAGTAACCTCGAACCTGTAGTAATAAGAATTTAGTATGTATTAGGCAGGGTTCAAATTTCAAAGGTCAGAGTATGGAGGTTATTTTTTCTGATATTTTATTTTTGACCAGACAAAACCAGACTAGTGTGTACTACCGTATTCGACGTAATAAGCGCCCAGGGCGCTCTCAAAATTAGAAATAGGGGGCTCTTATTAGAATATAATTTTGTGAAAAAAACAGAGTTGAAAGATCGCAAATTTCTAGGTTTATGTACCTGAAATGATACAAAAGAAAAGTCTGTGCGTATTATACACGACAGATATATTTTTCTAAAATTTAATTGCCCATAATTAAGGGTGCATATAACACACGAGTGCGTATTATACACAAATAAATAAGTCTTGTGTACATTGATCAATGGGAAGAGGTGCTAATTGGGATTGTTCACTAGCCAGTATAGTGGCAAATATCACCGCGGGCGCTTATTAGAGCGGGGCGCTTATTACGTCGAATACGGTATGTGTTTATTAAGGGGTCATGGGTCACCCTGTCGTCTAGGAGTGTCTGTGCTCAGTGTCATTCCATAGGCTTGCTATGATCATATTTAAATGGGTTCAAATCCCAGATTTACCCTGATTATGATCCTTGGTTTTTCAGCACCACAACCATACTCATTGCTTTCGCCAAAGTAAGGGGTGGTAGGGTAGCCTTGTGGTTAAAGCGATTGCAAGTCAAGCCTGGGTTCGAATCTCCACATTGTTACAATGTGTGAAGCACATTTCTGGTACTCCTACTGTCATATTGATGGAATATTGCTAAAATTTATGTAAAATCATACTCACTCACTCACTCACTCACTCACTCACTTTCACTCACTTTCACTCACTCACTCACTCACTCACTCACTCACTCACTCACTCACTCACTCACTCACTCTCACTCACTCACTCACTCACTCACTCACTCACTCACTCACTCATTCACCAAAGCGATAAACGATTGACCTGTATCAACTGAAACACACCTCACTCACTTCAGACTAGACTATAGTATGGAACCAGTTCTCAATGCTTCAACTTGCTATAAATCAAACTAAATAAGACAGACTGAAAATGTACACATAGTAAACATGTGTCATTCAAGCAGGACTTGCTACAAATTATGAAGTTTACACCAGTCCTCTAGACTCGTCTTAAAAAACCTGGAAGTCCGTCAGTGATCAACCGTGACTGTATGTGCTGGCTACTACCAGTATTAAATACGAGTGAGTCATTTGCAGCTGGTGCCTGGCTGAAAGTAATTAGATATATTTTGTAAACCATTGACCCAGTATTTTATTATTTTTATAAATATGGTGCAATTGGGCTCCTGAAAAAGGACTGATCCCCAACTCCCATATCTGGTCCCATGGCACTGAGAGATTTCTAATACCTGACCCATCTTCTCCCTGTAAGTCTTCAAGTCAATACGAAACCTCATCAGCAGATTGAATTGAGGTCACTTGAATTTGTGTCTCTAGGAGTCTTGTGTCGAAAAGTGAAACTGAAGAAAATTACTCATCGTAGTATTGACCACCTCTGTGGAATCCACTGATAGAGCGTCTGCCCAGACAGTGTAAGGTTATTATTTCAAGAAATGAAGACATGGTAATAAATATGACAGTAGCTTCATTGCAAAAACCTGCTGGGTATCGGGTAAGAATATAGGTCCCCAGCAACCTATGCTTGTCGTAAAAGGCGACTAGTGGACAGGGTGTTCAGGCTCAGTGGCTTGGTTAATTGTATGTCATCTATTCAAATTGTGTGTATCATGATGTCAGACACTGGACTGCCTGGTCCAGATGCAATTTTACAGGCCGCCATCATATATATGTGGAATATAGCTGAGTAAAGCAATAAACGTGCAGTCAATTGAAATATGTTTTATATAGAATTGGCATAAAAGATCACCCGAATTGTACATGTTCAAATACATGTGAAAATGCATATCATTATTTCATGGAATGTACATTGTTGAGTCATCAGTGGGAAATTATGTTTAACAGCTTTAAAAATATTGTACATAACATACCTGTTGATGTACACCTACTGTTATACGGCAATGCAGATGACATTGTTACAGAAAATGAAGCTATATTATAGGCAGTACAACATTATATATGTACAGCTAAAAGATTTATGTAAAGAACTGTTCATTCAACCATATTTAAATAAAAATACAGCAAGAAACAAAATACATACCCAGCGTTAGAAACTGACATTAGTCCTATAGTCCTTGCCAAACTGCCCAATAGTTAAGATATGAGGACTAGTAGAAATTTGCCCTTTTTAAGAGTTTTGCTTTATGTTATCATTGTAAGACTAGTGGACAACAACAAATCATTTCAATATGTTGTATGTGATGTGTTTCAGGCCAAGTGAAGATATTTCCTCCAAGTCACCTACACACAGCATTCAGGAGGTGTCTTCTAAGCCTCCCCCGGGCCCCTCGTCCGTCTCCACCAAGAAGGGCCCTCAGCCAGCTCAGGGTGGGGACTCCATCAAATATGGAGAGCTCATTGTCCTGGGGTAAGGACACCTGGGTTAACTCACGTTCTGGGCAGACTTTAGCCCTGTTTCATAATTATTTAAACACGTGAAGATACTGGTTAGAATTGTTCTTCATAAACCCATGCTTGTCTTAAGAGGCGACTAACAGGATCAAGACTTGGCGAGCATGTCATTGTATCCCAGTTGGGTAGATCGATGCTCATGATGTCAATCACTGGGTTGTCTGGTCCAGACTCGATTATTTACAGGTTGCCGCCATATAGCTGGAATATTGCTGATTGCGGCATTAAACAACAAACAAATCATAATCATTTAATGCAACCTTTACTTCAGCACCATACCTGTGCTCATCAGGGGTAGACACCATTTGTCATGTCCAACTAGTCCATAGCACATTTCTGACTAGTGGTTTTTGTACAAAAGTTGACTGTAAGAGACCTGTGAAGATCTGGAGTAGAATATGTCTTCAGCAACCCATGCTTGCCGTAAAAGGCGACTGTGCTTGTCATAAGAGACAACTAATGGAATCGGGTGGCCAGGCTTACTGACTTGGTTGATGCATGTCATCGTATCCCAATTGCGTGGATCGATGCTCATGATGTCAATCACTAGATTGTCTGGTCCAGACTCGCTTATTTACAGACTGCCGACATATAGCTGGAATATTGCTGAGTGCAGCGATAAACAACAAACCAACAAAGAGACAACAACAAGTTTTTTCAGATTAGTCTCAGACAAAAGGACAAGTGGTCCTGTCTTAAATGGTGAAAAGTCTACCACCTGTGCTACTGTAGGCTTTCCTTTCCCTGCTGCATTCATGCAACCAGAAGAGTTTAACGTGTTCGGTGTTTGCAGGTACAATGGGCACCTGCCTAGTGGTGACAAGGGGCGCAGAAGAAGCAAGTATATTCTGTGGAAGAGATCCCGAGCAAATGGCGTCAAGCCCTTCCGTAAACATCTTGTCACTAGTCCCCAGTCCTCCAAGGTAAGGCTAGCAGCATCTAGTGACTGCTTCACTGAAGTTGCCTTCTCTCAGGATGACTGCATTTTACATATGTTTTGTCATTTTGTGTGGTTCTGTATGGATTTATCATATGAGGCACATCATGGCTCTCACAAGGGTTTTAGTGTCAGCACGACATCAGTTCCAATGAATTACTGTCACTCATTCTTTCATACTTAATTTGATGCTGTGCTCAGAGAAGAACCAACCTGCTGTAAATCCTTGAAAAATCGCCAGACATTTATTATCCCCCGCCGCGAAGTGGAAGGGGGATATAGGAATGGGTGCCGTCCGTCCGTCCTTCCGGCCGGCCGGCCGTCACATTTCGTTTCCGGAGCAGATCTTGAAAACCGTACCATATTTCTTCACCAAACTTGGCACATAGATAGATCTAGTGGTGAACTGGTGCCTTTTGATAGTTTGGGATTTAAAAAAAAAATTCTTTTCGAGTTTCCATGGCAACGACTTTGATTTAGACTGAAAATGGAGGTAGTCCTCGTTTCCGGAGCAGATCTTGAAAAACGAACTATATTTCTTTACAAAAAGGCCCAGTGAACATAGTTCACAGGAGCTAATGCATTGCACACCCCCGACATATCATATTGGCGGGGGATGTGAGTATTTCATGCTTGTTCATTTTGAAAGGTCCCATGGACAGGTAATATGGTAAGGTTTACATATAATGTAGGCATTCATTCAAGGCAGGCGTTTATTCAAGCATTTACGGTAGATTTCTGTGTCAATCATTGTGTCCATCTTTAGAAACTTACCATTGTATGACATAGTACTCAAGAATGAAATGCACGGTTGTACACATGTTGTAAGCTCTCACAAACTAGTCCGCTGTATTACTCCATGTATCCGTCGTAACAAACAAACAAACTTACATTTAGCTGTTCCTAACTTTCTGGGTGGTCATGCTCAGACTTGGTGATGCATGTCATCGTATCCCAAGTGTGTGGATCGCTGCTCATGATGTCAATCACTGGATTGTCTGGTCCATCCTCGATTATTATTCAGACCGCCGTCATATAGCTGGAATATTGCTGAGTGTGGCGTTAAACAACACACAACAACAACAATCATAATCAGCTCAGCCTATGCCAGGAGTAACAGCAGAGTTGTCTCCCTTGGATTCTAGCAGTTTACTCAAGAAAGCATAAAAAATGGAAGAACACTTAACAATTTACTTAAATTGAATGTGTGCAAGGTGACATTGCATTGTTGTTCGGAAAAAGTAATATCTTCTAACCTATAGTGGGTGGTTTGTTTGCAGGCGGTACAGGATAGTGCCCAGCACTCGGTCTCTTACACTCTCTCTAGGAACAAGGCTGTCATAGTGGAGTACAAGCAGGATGAGGATACCGACATGTTTCAGGTAACTTCTTGTTGTCATATTAACACCTATACCTAGACAACTATTTACAGGTCACCATCATAAAGCTTGAATATTGCTGAGTGTGTCATAAAACAATAAACAAATAAATTCTGTTTCCTCTTTGATAATATCTTTATTGTTATGTACGGATCAAGTTATCAGGTATTTGCTCTCTTTTAATATAGATTGGCCGATCTTCCGAGAATCCAATTGACTTTGTTGTCATGGATACCATTCCTGGGAATCAGCGAGGAACCACAGAAAACATAACTCAGAGCACAATATCCCGGTTTGCATGTAGGATACTTGTGGACAGAAACCCACCATACACAGCCAGGATATATGCTGCTGGATTTGATTCAGGCAGAAATATTTTTCTGGGTGTAAGTTTTTCATGATTTTTAATGAAGCAGATGAATAGTAGCGTGATTCAAGTGATGATGCAAGCATTCAACTTTAAGATCAATGTTTATGTTTTGTGTAGATATTTTTAGACACATTTGGGCCTAAAGATACACATAACGTATTCAAATCATTAATTAGATTTACCTGGATCTATCTGTTTTCGAGCCTATTACTAATTGTGGGGGGAGTGAGGGTGTGGGGGGTCCAAGAACATGAGGGCCCATACTGTGGCACTTGATGTCCAAGAATTTTACTGATGTCATTTATCATGTTCAATCATTGTACATGCTCATAAATTACTGCCTTAAGCCTATTCATAGGTTAGGAATTCAACTTTAGATTGAAGGAAATCCCTCACTGATACCTTGATTAGTTTAATGATTCAAACAGATGTACGTTTCTGCTTACCACAGGACCTGCAATGCAAATTATCTGTGTCCATTCTCAATTTATATGCATATAGGATGCAATACTAAACCTGTGTTGTGTCTCAGGAGAAGGCAGTCAAGTGGTATGCGGGAGAGGAGATCGACGGCCTGACCACCAACGGTGTGTTCATCATGCAGCCGACGGGGGGCTTCACGCCTTCTGCCAAACCTGGCGTGTGGCGGGAGGTGTCTGTCGGTGGAGGGGTGTTTCCACTCCGAGAATCTCGGCCTTCACCACTTAAAAGTTGTCAGGTAAAAACCTTAGCAGAAATATCCTCTTTAGAGAAACCGACAGCTTTGGTCCAGTGATTGATGTTATTAGCAGCATCCTACACCATCGGGCTATGATGGCATGTCTGATTGGTCAGTAAGAGGGGCATAGAAGGGACATAACCCGTAATCACCACTGGTTGCGCTTCGGTCGAATCACAAAATTGCAGCCTAGTTCGGCAAGGGTGTTAACTCCCTTGCCTTAGGAAGATGATTCTAACCGAGAATCCCCACAGGGCGACCAAGCCCAGTAACCTGTATTATGTCCAGCAGAGTACAATATTGTACTGAAACATTTCCCCAACAGTAAATTTGTGGATGCCAAATAATTTTTCCATTTCTACATCACTAACACCCTTTCCTGTTAGATTCTGATGAGCTTGGTGTCTTCACGTTCATAGAGCTAATCAGATTACTATTGTTTTGATGTGGAAAGGTGCATGCGATGCATGGATTTTGTATTGCATGTAAGGAGCTAGTGTATTATAACTAGTCACATGACCTAACATGGCGGCGTTCCATGGAATCGAGAGCTGTCATAACTGAACTAAGTTCTAGGTACTAGTATCTATGGGGAGGTAGTTAATGATGTATGTGGATAGCTGTTGAAGGCGGCAGATGTAATATCGTGATGTTGTAGTAAAGACCGTTTTGAGTCACACAAGTTTGTTGAAGTTTGAGTTGATCTGAGTTGTCAACAAGAGATCACAATGCCAAGCGGAGATATAACAGTATTAATCTTGTGCACAAAGGTATCCCTTGTTGACGTGGGGATATTTCACACAGATCTTGAGTCGTGAAAGTAAAACTTCTGACATTTTGTTGTTGCAGATATTAGAAGAGGACAACATCCTGCGTGACGGAACGCTAGTTGACCTGTGTGGAGCGACACTTGTGTGGAGATCAGCCCTGGGTCTCATCACCTCACCTGTATGTTTACTTTTCATGTGTAGCAACTTTTTGTAGGTCTACTAAATACAAGTGCAGGTGTTGGCATGTTCAAGTTTTGTATTCAACATTTTTTTTAGTATATTCCCTTGTTAAATGAAAGACACGTTCAATGCCATGACATTATATTGTGTAGTTAGCTCATGTAAAGGGAGACAACTCAGCAGTACGATGAAGCCTGTTGGAACTTAAGCTTATCAACTTGTTGATATGGTCATTCTGTTGACTATTATATAAGTCACAAGAGCTTAGATATAGATTCATTGCACACTTTGCCTTACACACATCAGCCAGACTTAAAGGAGTTGTCACATTTATTGGCCAGTACTTTCTTTATGGTAGGAGCCCTGGTCCTTGTACTGAGTTTTGTTTGTTGCAGAGTGAGCATGAGTTTGAACACATGGTGCGACAGATCAATGCTGGCCGGCCTCAGTGCCCAGTTGGCCTCAACACTCTAGTGTTGCCGACACGAGGCTCGCTCAACCTGCGAGAGAGGCAACCCTACGTGTATCTCAAGTGTGGCCACGTCCATGGGAAGCACGAGTGGGGACAACAGGATGCAGATGACACTCGGACATGCCCTCTTTGTCTTACTGTGAGTGTGAACACTACGCAACCGTAACTAGTATAAACACCTATGATGTACCCTCTTTCATTCCCAGACTAATTCTACGATTCCATGGTCGCAGAAAGATGTGCAGAAAATGTAATTTACCTCACAATTGCAGAATAGAATGCGGAATTTTCCCGTTCTTATCAATCAATACACTATTTTTCATAACTTTTAAAGCTTTTCTATAAATTTTTGCACTCACATGATGCCAAAACGTTTAAAATGTGATTCACACATACATAATTTGAATCCTACAATAAAACAATTTTTTTTATAAATTCTTGTCATTTTTAAATGTTTTTGTAGTGTTATGACTACATAAACTTATGTTTACATCAACCATGAGTACATATGAGTGTTACTATGGATATGAGTTTGTGTTACATTATCAGGTGGAAATGGTTGTTTTTACCGCAGAATGATGTAATTTTAGCTGCAGAATTTGGGTAATTTTACCACAGAATTTGGGTAATTTTACCACAGAATTCGCCTGGAACTGCTCTTTGTCTTACTATGAATGATTATAAACACTAAACAACTAATGTTAACAGCTAGGAACTGCCCTGTTTGTCATACTGTGAGTATATTCACTATACAACCATAACTGTATACATGTAGTACCATAACTAACATAACCATCACCCTTCCCAGACACTAGGATCTGCCCTTCTGTCTCACTGTGAGTGTATGTCCACCACATTTCCATAATACATGCAAACAGCACCCCTCCCAGACACTAGGATCTGCCCTTCTGTCTCACTGTGAGTGTATGTCCACCACATTTCCATAATACATGCAAACAGCACCCCTCCCAGACACTAGGATCTGCCCTTCTGTCTCACTGTGAGTGTATGTCCACCACATTTCCATAATACATGCAAACAGCACCCCTCCCAGACACTAGGATCTGCCCTTCTGTCTCACTGTGAGTGTATGTCCACCACATTTCCATAATACATGCAAACAGCACCCCTCCCAGACACTAGGATCTGCCCTTCTGTCTCACTGTGAGTGTATGTCCACCACATTTCCATAATACATGCAAACAGCACCCCTCCCAGACACTAGGATCTGCCCTTCTGTCTCACTGTGAGTGTATGTCCACCACATTTCCATAATACATGCAAACAGCACCCCTCCCAGACACTAGGATCTGCCCTTCTGTCTCACTGTGAGTGTATGTCCACCACATTTCCATAATACATGCAAACAGCACCCCTCCCAGACACTAGGATCTGCCCTTCTGTCTCACTGTGAGTGTATGTCCACCACATTTCCATAATACATGCAAACAGCACCCCTCCCAGACACTAGGATCTGCCCTTCTGTCTCACTGTGAGTGTATGTCCACCACATTTCCATAATACATGCAAACAGCACCCCTCCCAGACACTAGGATCTGCCCTTTTGTCTCACTGTGAGTGTATGTCCACCACATTTCCATAATACATGCAAACAGCACCCCTCCCAGACACTAGGATATTGCCTTCTTGCCCCGCCCTAAGTAAGCACACCCTCCCTAAATTCCACACCAATTTTCTTAATGCGAAAATGTAAGCAGACACACACACATTACATAAAGAGACATCTATGGAAATAAAATAGGACGTATAGGTAAACAATATCCTTAGTTTTTGTTACATAGCTTTTAAACTTTCTTGCATTTTTTCACAGAAATAGTTTTCTCTGTAATAATATGAATGCTCTTTAATATGTTTTGAATGCTAACAGTTTTTGTTGCCCTGCTATACCCTGTAAAATGATGGAATTCCTAAATATCAAGGTTGGATATTAACAATTACAAATCCAGATTTTCTGTGCTTGTCCTCCATGTGTATTAACCTTTACTCGTCCATGTGTATAGCTAGTAACCTCCGTCCATCCCACCTGTATAGCTAGTAACCTGTGCCCATCCTACCTGTATAGCTGGTAACCTGTGCCCGTCCCACCTGTATAGCTAGTAACCTGTGCCCATCCCACCTGTATAGCTGGTAACCTGTGCCCATCCTACCTGTATAGCTAGTAACCTGTGCCCGTCCTACCTGTATAGCTGGTAACCTGTGCCCATCCCACCCGTATAGCTAGTAACCTGTGCCCATCCCACCTGTATAGCTGGTAACCTGTGCCCATCCTACCTGTACAGCTAGTAACCTGTGCCCGTCCTACCTGTATAGCTAGTAACCTGTGCCCATCCCACCTGTACAGCTAGTAACCTGTGCCCATCCTACCTGTATAGCTAGTAACCTGTGCCCATCCTACCTGTATAGCTGGTAACCTGTGCCCATCCCACCTGTATAGCTAGTAACCTGTGCCCATCCTACCTGTATAGCTGGTAACCTGTGCCCATCCCACCTGTATAGCTAGTAACCTGTGCCCATCCCACCTGTACAGCTAGTAACCTGTGCCCATCCTACCTGTACAGCTAGTAACCTGTGCCCATCCTACCTGTATAGCTAGTTACCTGTGCCCATCCCACCTGTATAGCTAGTAACCTGTGCCCATCCTACCTGTATAGCTAGTAACCTGTGCCCATCCTACCTGTATAGCTAGTAACCTGTGCCCATCCCACCTGTATAGCTGGTAACCTGTGCCCATCCTACCTGTATAGCTAGTAACCTGTGCCCATCCTACCTGTATAGCTAGTAACCTGTGCCCATCCTATCTGTACAGCTAGTAACCTGTGCCCATCTTACCTGTATAGCTAGTAACCTGTGCCCATCCTACCTGTATAGCTAGTAACCTGTGCCCATCCCACCTGTACAGCTAGTTACCTGTGCCTGTTGTGTTACAGGTGGGACCCTTCGTGAAGCTGCAGATGGGATGTGAGTTGAGCCTGTACGTGGATGCCGAGTCTCCCACCTATGCATTCATCCCATGTGCACATGTGGCCTCGGAAAACACAGTCAGGTAAGCCACATCTACCAATAGAGAAGAATTATCACTGTATAGCTAAAACCTGTGCCGGCGAAAGTGCTCACTTTGTAGATTCCCTACTTGCTGAGAAACTGAGAAAGTTGACGATCAAACTTTGTTAACCAACAGACACATTTTTCCAAGATGTAGTCAACACTTGTATCAATGTATGATCACAAAGAAGGGCCTTGTCACTCAATGTTGTATGAGTTGTCCCATGCAGGGATTTATATCCATGTTCACAGAGGCTGATTTTCGTCCAAAGATCTGCAGCATATGTTGGAATCAATACCAAAATTTCATTTGTTTGTTTGTTTGTTGTTTAACGCCGCACTCAGCAATATTCCAGCTCTGTGACGGCGCATCAACCAAGTCAGCGAGCCTGACCACCCGATTCAGATTGTCGCCTCTTACGACAAGCGGTATGGGTGGTCAGGCTCGCTGACTTGGTTGATGCATGTCATGGATTCCAATTGTGTGGATCAATGCTCATGATATTAATCACAGGATTGTCTGGTCCAGACTCGATTATTTACAGACCGCCGTCATATAGCTGGAATATTAATGAGTGTGGCATTAAACAACAAACCAACCAACCAACATTTGTGAGATGGATTGTTTAATTCCACTCTTATCACTGATAACATGTTTTACAAATTGAACCCATGTGGAGAATAAACCTATGTCTTTGATGGCAGCATAAATTTGTGTAAAACTTTCATATCATATTAATTATTTTTTCCCTTGCAAGAATTTCCATGATAATGTTGTGCTATCATATTATATATTTTTTTTCCCTTAGATACTGGTGCCTTGTGGCTGTGCCGCACGGTTGCCATGGTTTCCGAGCAATCTGCCCCTTCTGTGCCACACCTCTTGCATCTGACCCCGGCTATGTGAAGCTCATCTTCCAGGATCACACTGACTGATGTTAACTGCATTGCTGTTGTGTGGGTGGCAGCAGGACCAGGCCGCCAGGCCCCCTGTTTGTCTGTGTGTCTGTGTGTCTGTCGGTACTTCTGCGTTGGCCCTGACTGGCTCAGGGTGGGTATGACTGGTTATCTAAGTGTGTTAAGGAGTAATTACAACTGTATAGTGAGTAATAGCTTAGCTAGAATCTACCTCCCTACTTTGCGTAGGTGACAGACGGTTCAGTGTGTTGTGTTGCTGAACCAGTATTTTCCCACTGCATAAATTCACATTCAATGACATGTGTATGGTTCCACTAAGGACATTTAACAGACTTATCTCTAGCATGATGATAACACGCTTGTCTGTGCACAGGAATTTTCAAAGAAAATAGACTCTGCACTATTATATTGTTACCATGGTTACAGGTGATGAGCATATGATCAAAAGTAACATGTTGAATTCCAATTCAATATGCTATTCTCCTCATTCATATATAATATATATTATACTTTGGTAATAACCAAACTACAGAGATTGTCAAAATCGTTTTGCCAAAACGACTGCTGTATGTATACCAGGTGCTGGTGAAAATTGATGTTGATGTGCAGCCACCATTAAGTAAAAGTTTGGGGCAACTTAGCCCTGGTTAGGGGTTGGGTGTAATGACAGAAAGTCGACACATCTTCATATGCAACTTAGATATAAAATCCATGTGGTTTCTTTTTCACTAGTGTCTTTGAGCGTACTTGACCCCATTTCTGTCATATGTCCCCAAAATAGTCTGACACAATAGGAACAAAATTAAGTCAGGCCACAATAAATTGATTGACACTGCAGCAGACGTGAAAAGGCTGACAGTAATTTTTACAAGATTGTATTTCTTGAAATGACTAATTCCTTTTTAATGCTTTTTGAGGGATATTTGGAGATTAGTTCGGTCATTTGAGCTACAGAATAAAATAATATTAATCAGTTTCTTGTGGTCTTAAGAATTTGATTATGTCTCAGACATTCTTTAAGACTAATCATATGTAAACCTTCAAGTAATCATCTTGACCTGTTACATTGCTGTTATAGTACTGATACATAAAGGTACTTAGTGACACAGTTGTCCTTTGTGAAGGTTACACTTCAAGGTGATCTTGGTACACCTGTACTTCAACTATTCAAACCCTATTCTGGTTACCTAGGCCACCAGACTGATAGATAACCAGTATTATATCCCAGTGGACAAATTTATATTGCTTCCAGTACACTAGATGTGAATGATAGAGGTCATTATCAGTTGTTGGATATATCATCGATGTTATTTTGTAAAGGGCCAACAGTGAAGGAATGTATTTTTTTTTCAGTGTTTGTATTCAATAACATTTTATAGAATGAAAGTTTTTTTAGATTTGTATAGTTAATGAACCTTCTATCCTCAGATTTGGGGTATTTCCTTTATTTGTTTGTAATGTAATTTAACCTTTTACAAAGGACAAGGTACGATAAGTGTCTCTTTGGGCCAAAAGGATCTGCATAATTTTCAGAATGGGGCAAATCTTTTAGAAATTGTTATGAGAACATAACTTTGTTCATTTCATTTCAATAATTGCTTTTTTGTTACTTACGACAACACAACAAACAAATAGTGCATTGTGACACCTTTTCTTGTGTCCAAAAGACTGATATTAACGGTTGTCATGAAGCATTTTTCTAATATTTGAACAAATCTTTTACCCTAGCTGATTTTCATAGATGTAATGAACTAACTCCTACTTTTCATACACTTTCATTTGAAGTTCTAAAACTGTAACTTTTTTGTTTGTTTTAGCCATATTTGTGTATTTGACTATGTCAGAAGTCCAAGAAAGTTTACAAAGAAAATGAGCTAGTTGTCAGCCATTTGAACATGTCTGATACTTTTCATACCAATATTTGAAAGTTTTCAGCAACTTTAAGACTTAACATGGGCCCAAAGGGGCCAAAAAGGGCCCTTATCATACCTCTTCCTTTGATAGCAGGAGTTCTTGATAACCAAGTCACAACACCGCTATACTGTATCTTAAGCTTTCATTCTGATGGTTCCTTCAGATGGAGATTTACATCAGATGGGGATGTATCTTCTAAGATAACAGCCTGTCCTGATAGGTGTGGTCTTGTGAACAGTTTGTTGTCTACTGGGTTACTTTCAGTGTAGCAGAGGAGTCTTTTGAAACTCTTCAGTTTCTTCAACATCTTTGGAGATAAGAATCCTTACGACTGTTCTTTCAAGATTACATTCTAGCATGTCATATAATATGGGAAATCTACCTTGTTGGTTTCATGTCATCGTACCCAGACTATGTGAGACAGTGGTCATAATATCATCCACCAGTTTCTCTGACCTGACTTCATAATTTACATCTGGTTATGATAGGTTATGATATAGCTGACTGTGGTTTAACACAACAAATATTCATCTTTTTACTGTTAGAGTAGAATCGTATGGGCATTATATTAGGTAGGTGAGTCTTGAAATGTTCCACTGATAGAGAGGGATGGAACTATATCTTCATATTCTACACGACTGCCATGAACTTGGGCATTTCATTGGATATAACCACCGTTACTTTGGATATAACCACTGTTACTTGGGATATAACCACTGTTACTTGGGATATAACCACTGTTACTTGGGATATAGCCAGGTATTTTGGATATAACCACTGTTACTTGGGATATAACCACTGTTACTTTGGATAAACCACTGTTACTTTGGATATAACCACTGTTACTTGGGATATAACCACTGTTGCTTTGGATATAACCACTGTTACTTTGGATATAGCCAGGCACTTTGGATATAACCACTGTTACTTGGGATATAACCACTGTTACTTTGGATATAACCACTGTTGCTTTGGATATAACCACTGTTACTTGGGATATAACCACTGTTGCTTTGGATATAACCACTGTTGCTTTGGATATAACCACTGTTACTTGGGATATAACCACTGTTACTTTGATACTTTTCCTTGCCACACTTCCTGTGGCCTAGGGTATAAATCCTTTATCCATGTACTATGCTTGCTCATATAGTCCCTAAGACAGTGATTGTCTTCTATTCCTGTATACTTTGTTGCAATGCCTGCTGGGGCAGAAATGACCACATATCACAATAGCACTATTGGAAACATATCATGATAAGCCACATTTAGTAAAAACAAAAACAAATTTGCACACACATTTAGTATGGGTGCTTTGAAGATCAGAACAAAATGCTATGGATCAAGAGTTATTTCAGTGACTTATTGTTATTACAGTAATAGGCCATCAATATTTTCTGTGTACTTCTCATCTCCATGCTCAGCCTCAGAGCAAAGATTTCCACCTGCCTTCTTTTGAGAATACAATATATGTTATCTGTTGTATAAGATATGTGAAAATAGGTTCACAATTATGTGCTCATTAACTGGAAAGGGGGCGGGGTGACCTCCCTTTCCCAAATTCCTTCTGATAGAATATAGCAAGTTTGTTAATAAAAGATTGTTAGTGGCAGATCAAAATATTAAGGTTGATGTATGGCTGGAGATAAAGCCATTTTTTTCAATGTGAAGCGGAACAGTAATTTTGGAATAGAGGGCATGATATACATACAAAAATATACAGGACACATTTGGATGGGGGAAAAAGTAATATACAGAAATATTGCTGAATGATACTGCTGTGTTCAACTACTTCATGTCAACAATAGGAGTCAGTAGGTGGAATCCTATCATGACTGTCCACTAGACTGCCAAACTTTCTCTTGTTATCTCTGGGCGACATTTGCATGCCCAGCACATGCTTCCTTTTGTACTAATTCCTGTTATACTTGCCATCGGTTTATAAAGATCAATGTGAAATGGTATGCTCTGTCAAGTTGAGAATATGGTTTGTTTTGACCAGGCTAGAGAGCATATTTTGCTCCTTTCTCAAAGATATCGACCAGATATTTGCTGAAGAAAAGTCTTTAGTGTCCAGTTTCTACCTTGGCTTTCTTCAAACAATGTATCAAGATCTTTTATTTCATTCAGATTGATGCAGGAGCAGGAAGCTCTAAGTACATTACCATGGTTACCAGCACATGTATTTCTATCACTAGAGAACTGAAGGTAGAATACTGAATTAATAAAAAAATGCATGATTGCATATTAGTCTAACCTGAAAAATGAGAAAACAAAATATTGTTTCAGGGGCCTAAGAGCAAAAAATGAGCTTTCCTATATTGATTCTGAGTATTTGTGGATCCAGCAGAATGTCCTACAGTAATACATATCACTGTCCTGTTACTTCATAGAAATGACTTTTCCATGTTTGTTTAGTTTTCTTATAGCGCAAGCAATACTTAAACTCTGACCAATTACTTTTATACCTTACAATCCTTTCACCATTGAGGCTATTTCTCAATAAGATTTGCTCAATATCTTTGTCATCATTTTGCTAAGGTTTGTATAAGTGAAATGGAGAAATGGCTATTTTGTAAAACATTTTCTTATGTCCATGTATATATGCTTTGTAAACATATTGCAGCTTATTATATCTTCCAATAATTTGATTTAATTTATTTGGCATTTATTGGATGTGAAGCACCATGCCATGCTTGCATACACACTGTTACAGAGGTTAGGGTGAGAACAGTACATACATAAAGTTTTTGTAATGTGTTAACTTTTATGCATACAAGGTACAGCTCTCTACACTTGCATGACTGCACCGTAATGGCTACAGTTTTCAGATGAAATACCTTGATGAAAATGTATCAGTGTTTATGTATTAATTTCAATTATTAAAAGTGTCTATGTATAGGAAGTAGTTTTCACGCTGAGAAATATAGGTATTCCACCTGTAGTAATTGTAATTTGACACTGACAGTGTTATAACTGTTTCCTGTTGCATGATAAACAACTGTAAGTGAGAGTTACTGATTTCATTTTGTGCTGTTGATGTAAACCGTAATTCCTTGAATAGACGCCCAGGTATGTATTTATTTCAGAGATGTCACCCAGGGTCTAGACAAAGATTGTGTTTATTCAAGGCAGGCATCTGTTTTATAATAATGGTAAACTTGTCACACTTCAATGAAGATGGGTCATACAATTTGAATAAGACGTGTGATTTGCATTTTGTATTATTACAGCTTTCGTTTCAATATTATTTTATTGATTTCCTAAAGGAATATCCATGATTAGAAATTTTGACCCTGCGTCTATTAAAGTTAGGCATTTATATATTTTGCAAGTCTATCAGACCCGGCAGTTTTCAAAGCAGATGGGGGCAGTCGGGTAGCCTTGTGGTTAAAGTGTTCGCTCGTCACGCCGAAGACCAGGGTTCAATTCCCGACATGGGTACAATGTGTGAAGCCCATTTCTGTTGTCTCCCTGCCGTGATATTGCTGGAATATTGCTAAATGCGGCGTAAATTTAAACTCACTCACACTCACTCAAAGCAGGCGTCTCTTCAAGGATGTACAGGATGTAGCAGGGCCGTTCCACAAGCCTTCTCAGTGCTGTAGGGGATATATGTGGCCCAGTCTTCCCTTAGGCATGCCAGAAACCTATGATCAGGAGTTTGAATCCCTGATTTGCTCTGACCAATAATCATGTTCCCAAGTTCGTCAGCACCATACTTATTCTCATAGGTTTCACTACAGTGGTAATATTCAAAACTTGAGTGACTTCAGGCTTTCATGAAAATCATGTTAACACCAGACTGTCCTATAACTGAAATATTGTTCAGTGGGGCAGTAAAGGAAATTCACTGACTGAATGCTATGACTTTTGTATGTCTGTGAAGGTGGAGGAGTACTGCAGTCGTAGTGCTGTGATAGCTTTATGGAATTACCCTGGCTTTGTAGGTCACATGTTAGGTGGAACTGATACCAGATTATCATCTTTTTTATAGTCTGTTATTGATGGGGTGGCCGGGTAGCCTAGTGGTTAAAGCGTTCACTCGTCACTCCGAAGACCCGGGTTCGATTCCCGACATTGGTACACTGTGTGAAGCCCATTTCTGGTGTCCCCCGCCGTGATATTGCTGGAATATTGCTAAAAGCAGTGTAAAACCATACTCACTCACTCTGTTGTTGACTACAATTAGGCTTGACAAGTTAACTTGTTATTTTATGTTGTTTAATTTGCATTAGAGTACAGAAACAACTAACAAGAGGTTGCACCATGAAATAGCATATATGTATGTCTTTGAATAACACCACTGACACAGCCTCATTTAGTCTGACCAAGTTAATCGTCTAATGAAGTGGTATTATTGTCCTTCACAAAGACCATGTTTTTTTTTTATCTGTCTATTGCAAACTGTCAGAAAGGTCACAAGATTTGTTGTTTGTCAGGATCTACTTAAGCTATCATGCTGAGGGGTTATCTACTCGCTGGTTATTCCATTCCATGTTTATGTTTCTTGAGAATCATTGATTAAAGATCTTTGATCAAGTTTCTCCTGTTGTGTTTAATTTGAAATGGCATTTATTATACAAACAATTTCAATCTTGTGACATAAAACAGCAGTGTTTGATAGCAAGGAGGCCCTGGAGGTGTGCTGTCATTGTACACTACTGAAAAGAAGTTAAAGAACAACCCACACACATTTCTTTCATATGAGGGGCGGTCGGGTAGCCTAGTGGTTAAAGCGTTCGCTCGTCACGCCGAAGACCCGGGTTCGATTCCCGACATGGGTACATTGTGTGAAGCCCATTTCTGGTGTCCCCCGCCGTGATTTTGCTGGAATATTGCTAAAAGCGGCGTAAAACCATACTCACTCACTCACTCTTTCATATGACTAAAGTTAGTCCATCATGCCATGACAGATTAACTATAGTCATATGAAAAAAATATGTGTTCTTTAACTTCGAGTAGTATATTTAAATCAAGGGACACTGTAATTTTTTTTACTTTTATCATAGGGTTATGACAATTCCAAACACTGAGCAGTAAGTGTTCACATTGTCATTGAAATCTTTCTATTTATAGGAAACAAAGGGCATTGATGGTGATGTATGCTTGAGTTCATTGTTTTCTTGTAAAAGAAAGCTTCCTCAGTTTAGTTCATTCCACAAACTAAGATTGTAAATGTAGGGTCATTCTTGACATGTCCAAAATGTTTACTGGAAAAATTCATTTCTAGTCAGTGTATTAATATTATATAGTAAATAAAGTTGAACATGATGATTTTTCATCATGATAAAGATCCAACCTTTTGTCTCAATGAAAGTGTTCATATTGGTTTATTCTGTGTCTCAGTCATGTTTGAAAATATTAATTTGCCAATACATATATGGTAAAACCACATCATTCATGAAAGATATATATATATAGTAAGTAGTTGGCTGGTCTGTTGATAATGGGCTATATTGTATGCTAGATACACAATACTTATATCACATGGTTATGGACTCACTGTAATAGTTGACCACTGAGGGCACTTCCAGTATTTGTTGTTTCAACACTAGTAACCTTCATTTGACATGATTCGGATATGGACTAACCTTTGTAATAACACATACTTCGTTGTCATTATTGACAGTGTAATGTAATATGTTTATTAACCAACTGTACTAACTTTGAGAGTTGTGTGATTTTAGTATAAATAGTATTGTTTTTTCACTCAGGGGAATCAGTTGTTTATGTTGATGAGAGTATCCGATTTGTTGTCTTTTCATCACCAAAAATATCTATTTAACTTTTCATGGGGATATTCCTACTGGAAGTGGGGACTGATTGCTAGGATATTCCATCGCCCAAATAGTATTTGCTATTGCAGTGGAACAAACTTTCGGCTTCATGAGTTGAGTTTTGTAACAGTATGAAATATGTCTGTAACCCTATCAGATGTTGAGTAGTATATTTTTCTGTTGTTACATAAAACCAGCATTCTTGTACATCTACGTGTATTTTGCAGAAATTTAACCCGAATCCAAATTTCCAGTATCTATAAGAATGTGATTCAAAATTAAATAACGTAGCCAATCAAAATCATTGCACATGAATTTTATTGCAGTATAATTGTCTCTGATTGGGATGGTTCCAAATTATGTGAGTCATGCTCTTTGATAAACTGTAATAGTGAGTTGTCAAGGTGATAATAGAGGCTAGTCATTTAATAAAGGTTGGGGGAGCTGGCATTATGAATATCATATCAATTCATTACCTTTCTCAATCTAGTAATTTATTACACAACCCTTCCCAATTTTGTCTTGTGTTTTGGATTATCTTCAACCTGCACCCGTTTGACCAAGGTGCTTCATGTCACCAAACTGGTGGACATCTCCATGGTAACGACACAAGAATTGCTGCCGACATGAAACTGCCATGACATGACATATTGCAATGCTGTTAAGTGTGGCATTAAGTCTAACTCTCCCACTCCAACCCACACATCCGTGATGATCAATGAACATTCCCTAATCTCAAGTCTTTTGTCAGGATAACCGTTGTTGTCATGACAAATAGTTTTCTTTACAGTGTTGGTAGGTCAAATAAGACGTCTTGATCAATTATGGGATTTGTATTTGACATCAATAATGAGCTTGCAAATATACAGTTGCAATACATGATTAAGATCCACCCCCCCCCCCCCCCCTTTTATTTCGAAAAAAATCTTTATTTCTGTATAAATTACCACCAAAGACAATAAATAGATCTTAATTGTGCACCCCCCTTTTAAAAAAAACTGTATCCGCCCATGCCCTTTTTGTAACTCAAATGAAAGGACGAGATTGCACCATGGATCGTATTTTCTCTTTTACTTGCAAAAATGCTAATAAACAGCAGTCACTGTTAAGTCAGAAACATGGTATGCACAACTGAAAATCCTTTCACATTCCTGTAGCATTGTTAATAATTAAGCTGGACCAAGAAGATGATTTGAAGTAACCACTTCAGGTTGATGAATTTCAAGTAGCTCAATGAACACAGCATTTGGGAGAGTACGGTACATGGAGTCTTGTTTTTCCATAATTTGACATTTTCACTTCACATTTCAGCGACTCAAAAGCTACTTAAAAGTACATTTTCTATGTTTTCGGATGATTTTATACATGATTTATCACATATTTGTATGGCAGATTGTGTTAATTTGCAAAAGGTTAAGATAAAAGTAAATTAAACATCAAAATATTGAAAAACAGACTCCATGTCCCTTATGGGCCACCGTAGGAAGAGTGTTTCAGTGGTTGTTTAGAGTTGGTTAAGGGACTGGCCATGTATTATGGCGGCCCACCATGGATAATACCAAAGAAGAAGAAATTTGTAAAATGTTGCTATAGCTTCTGGTAGATTTGATGTGCACGCTCAAACCGTGTGTAGCTGTTTCAATAATTTAGATATCTTATTTGCAATGTAAGCTTTCGTTCAATATTATGAATAACTGAGTTCATTGGGTAATTTGTGTCACTATTATGAACCTTTGAAATATCTGTACCTAATGTTACCAAATAAAGCCTTTTAAACTTTAAGTTAAGTACAATGTATACAGAAAAGGGAACTATGATAGCGGAAATAGGATAAGATTTACCCCACCAAGAATCTGAAGACAATTCATATTAATATGTTTGTTAGCAAACTTTCTTTATTGTTAAGGACATACCTCAACAATTTGGTGACTTGCATATCGAATACATACTGGTATTTTACACAGTTAAATCTTGTTCCTGGAAGAAACTTATGAACTCTCCCATATATATTCATTTAAGACATCAGTCTTGAACCACCACTGTTTAGATAGCTATTAATTGTATTTATTAGCTCGGCCAACCCTCAATGATGTCAAGTTATTGTAGAACTGGATGCAAATTTAATGCCATTGACTTCTGCATGTAGTATTGATTAAGTAGTATTGTTGAGTAGTATCATTTTCACTTATTGCATGTCATGTGTGCATTTGTATATAATTTATGTATGGTTTGCCATGTTATTTTTTGTAGATGTTCAGTTTTGTTGATTCATTTTCCAGATATGTATGTAAATACTGTATCTTACATGTACAGATTTGTATTATGTTATTTCCTGAGTTATCTCCCTTGTATGCCAGTGTGGTATGTGGCAATATGTGGCTCCTCGTCTTCCTGAAGACACAAAATGCAGTACCAGGTATTTTTAATCTGTCATTGTAGCAGTGTATATTTTTAATTTAAGCATTAAAACATCATATGCATCAGGAAGTTCAGAACACTTGGGTTATTTTGGGGTTACTTGGTTCAAAGATCTGCTTACCCATAATTCCATAACGTGTGGGAAAAGATTAAAATTGAATACTGAAAGCTTTAAGACGATTTAATCCTGTTTATTAAATATTAAATATTTGTAGAAAAACAACAACAGTTGATTGATGCAAAATGGAAAGTGACATATTCAAGGACACAAGATCTTTGAGAAATATTTTTCATACATCTTGTTTATATACTGTATTCGACGTAATAAGCGCCCAGGGCGCTCTCAAAATTTGAAATAGGGGGCTCTTATTAGAATAAAATTTTGGAGAAAAAACCCAGAGTTGAAAGATTGTAAATTTAGTGGTTTATGCTGACAGCCTGAAATGATATAAAATAAAAGTTTGTGTGTATTATACACGACAGATATATTTATCCAGAATTTAATTGCCCATAATTAAGGGTGCTTATGACACAGGAGTGCGTATTATACATGAATAAATAAGTCTTGTGTACATTGATCAATCAGAAAGGGTGCTAATTGGGATTGTTCACTAGCCAATATACATGTATTAGCAAATATAGCCGTGGGCATATTACGTGGAATACGGTATGTATTTTATTTTATTTTTTAACATCCATGGTTTCAAGAGAAAAAGTTTATCTTTAGACCAAGTATTGAAAAAACACATGCCAATATGTTTTGATGGGTGGAGGTGAACTAGCGTTGCTTCTTTGCAAATGTGAATCACCATTTTGGTACTTTAGCTGTGTTTTCACAGCCCTGATCTGCCTGCTTCAGACACAACACGGTTTCTTCAGCAATAACGGTTTCAGTGTACAATGTTTCTTCACTTACAGTGTCCTGCTGATTGTCTGAAAGGTCCTCACAAGTAAACAGTCTGACTTCTCAAACAATTATGCTCTGGTTTCAAATCATGAAGTTTAAAATGTATGTATTATTGAAGAGTTTGAAAATCTGTGGAAGCTTGGACTCTATGAACTTTTTTGTCACCATATGGATGTGAGTTGCCCAGTTCTTAGTAAGATAACTGTTGTGAAAGGTAGTGTTACGATGTTCAGAGGCAAGAAGAAGAAAACACAATCTTTTCACCACAGAATCACAGGGTTCAGCTTGCTTGTTACTGGTAGCGTTGACAAGGGCATGGAACTACAACTGAGTTTTGGAAGGAAACATGTAATTGAATAAATATGAATTCTCTATATTTATTTCTATTCCCTTGGCAAGTGTTTCTGAATAATATTCTAGTACTCTAAAAGTGTTTTTCAAAACATGTGCCGCTAAATGTCAATATCTAAGTAAAACAGACTGGAAGTTAGTGGGCATCATCATGTGATGAATAGTCCTTGCTGTATCACTTGGTGTTTAGTGGTTTGATTTGGTTTGAATGCAAATTAAGCAAATTATGGCTTAGGAGTCTTCTATGGTGATTGTTTAGGGCTGGGACGGGTAACTCGGGTAACTCGGGTACCCGGGTCGGGTGGGTACTGAGTAGGACCCGGGTACCCACAGGATTACCTGGACTCATGGTTTGTCACGTGATATATTG